TTTTCTTCTTCTTCCTCTCTTTTTCCAATTATTCTTTTCCCTCTCTCCGAGATCTACGGTAGATCTGTGCTAGATCTTCTTTTCAACTCTCTCCCCTTCTTTTTTTCTCTTTCCTTTTCTGTCTCCCAGAGGTGGAGATGGTGGCGGCTATAGACGATGGTGGTGAGGGTTGAAGGGGCACGGTGGTGACTGGTGAGGGTTGATGGGCGATGGTGATGAGGGTTGAGGGATGATGGTGTTGACGGTTAAGGAGACAGTGGTGGGCCTGGGTCAATTGTGGCAGGGTCACTGGAGATGGTCAGGTTAGGGGCGGCGGCGATGATAGAGCCGACGATGATGGGGGGTGGTGGGTGCTCGCCTTAGCAGAAAACATCGGCGACGATGATGGGGGCTGGTGGGTGCTAGCCTTGGCAGAAATCAGCGGAGGGGGGTGTTGGGCTCTAAAAGTGTAAAACAAGTAAGAAATGAAGGGTATATTAGTGTCCTGCGAAGTTGGCAGCCACAGCTGTACAAGATAATTTGGCGGATCAAATGGTGTAGCCCAGCGAAGGAAAGATTTTGCGTCGAAAGTCTTCCCGACAGGAGGTCGGGCGGCGTGTCCCATAAAGAGTGTAGCAACACCAAGAAAGAGAATTTGCAGGTGGTGCCTTGTGTCAAAAGTCTTCTCGACGAGAGAAGGTCGGACGGCGTGTCCCGTGAAGTTGGTAGCCACGCAAAGGAAAGATCTGCGTTAAGCGCCTTGCGTCAAAAGTCTTCCGGAGGCCAGGTAGCATATCCCGCAAAGAGTGTAGCAGCGGTGCAAGATGGTTAGCAGATAAAGTAAAAAAATGGATTACCGCTAGAGCGGAGTTGGAAGTTGTGTGGTCCTTGGTTGAGGGGAGGTTTGATGGGATTCCTCCAAGTCCAACACCCGAAGTTTAGGAGTAAATGAACCAAATTATACGAAGAGAGTGGAGAAGAAAGCTAACCTTTGCAGAGGCTAGAATCTCTGAGAAATTCACTGGAAAACGGCAATCACAGACGGCAGTGGTTGGTCAAGCAGCAAAATATACGAGAAGAAGGATAGAAGATGGCTGTGAAATGAATTGGAGAGGGAAAGAAAAGGAAATAAAAAATACAATGATGAAACTGGCTGATAGATCTAACATAAAACTGATCTTTTAATTGCTCAAGGACGACTTTTGAGATTCCTTAGAAATACGCGTGAAAATTTGCAATCTGGCTCGTCTTTTGCCAAGAAGGCTGGGGCGGGTTACAAAATGTGACTTCGCCTCGCCGATATCAAAAGGACACTCCCTTTCGCCTCAAGAGTCTTGCCTCAGGGAGTGGGGGGACTCTTTATGGAGACATAGGCTTGTCCCCCATGCCTATAAGGATCACCCACATGCGTATAAAGATCAGCTCGTCCATCATAGGGAACCGCCACGCTCGACCCATTAAAATCTCGCTCGACCTAACCTTTGTAGTGTTGTGCTTGTGCCTTGGGCACCCAACTCCACCCGATCAATCGGATGGTGCCAAACTCGTCCTACCGGGGCCCCTCGGCATCTCATGCCCGATAAGGGAGTCAACCACTAGGGAATCGCAGGTGCCAGTGACCAGAGCGGGGGAACGTCATCAAAATCGCCCATGGGCCTCTTTGATTGAGAACATGGGGGTACCGGTCCAAAATTGAGTGTATAAATAAGACCCCCACCCAAAGGGTGGGGGGGATAGAATTCCGAAATATTCAATTTATTCAATTTATATTACAAACTTTCATCTTTTTATAGTTTGTACTACTCTCATCCTTAGAATCCATCACCACTCACCCCTATATTCAAGAATATCAGACCCGAAAAATCCATCCATGAATATCTAAAAAGCATATGTTTTTTTAAATAAATATTTAAAGTGCATGCTTTTTAGTTATTGCAATTTTATTCTCCGTAAGTGTGCTTTTATTTTTATTTTTGAGTTGAGATGTGTGGTTTTGCAAGTATTAGATACAAAATTTACGCAAAATATTTCGGATATTCCATTTATCTAATCTGAAATTTCGAATATTCATACCTCAAATATTCAAAGATTTTTTAAATCGGATATGCAATGAATTTTCTTGACCCAAAAGTATTGAATATCCAAAACTTTGGATCAGATCAATGAAATTAAACACCCCTAATGGTCATGAGTAGTTGGCTATGTCTATGAATGTGTTAAACATATATTCTATATTTAATGTAAATATATTGTTTCCTATATTATTGTTTCCTACCTTGTATAGGATTAGGAATCCTTGTGTATATATTGTTTCCTACCTTGTATAGGATTAGGAATCCTTGTGTATATATAGACATGTACTCCCACATATTCAATCAAGGAAAATAATCTTTCTACATGGTATCAGAGCCTTAAAACACAAAACCCTAATCCCCCTCTCCTCCTCCTCTCCCTCTCGGCCTAGTCACGCCGCTGCCCTCCTCCTTGCGCCGTCTTTTCCTGCGGCTGCCAAACCAGCGGCGACGCCGGCCTACCTCCCAACCGGCATCCTCCTCTTTCTCTTTCCCTTACCATGGCCGAAGTTAGCGAGGTCACCTCTCAAAATCTCTCCTCCAAACCCCCACATCTTGCTTTCACAACTGTCTCCAACGTGAAACTTCACGTTCCTGTTCAACTCAGTCTCTCTCAACCTAATTACAAGAAGTGGAGTCGTTTGTTCCTCCTCTTAGTCAGGCGATTCAATCTTCAGGGCTACATCGACGGTTTCGTCGTCCCCCTCTCTGACGACGACGACGAATGGTTCCAACTCGACGCTCTTCTCCAGGGTTGGATCCTCTCCACCATCACCGATGAAGTCTCAGATCTGGTCATCTCTTCTGTTTCCACCGCCTCTGCCCTCTGGAAGGTCATCCACAACTTGTTCCATGACAACAAACATGCTCGTGCCATGCAACTAGAGCATGAATTCCGTACTACCATCAAGGGAAACTCTACCATGGCAGCATATTGCCAACAGCTTCAGAATCTCGCGGATTGGCTCGATGATGTTGATGCTCCTGTCTCTCAACACCAGCTTGTTCTCCAAATGCTTCGGGGGCTTCCTGCGGACCTTCAGTCCCAAACGTCCTTCATGCAATTTCAAGATCCCATGCCGACGTTCCTGCAAGTCCGCTCAGCTCTCATGCTCCTGGATCAGCAACGGACCACCTTGGCCGACTCGGGCTCCACGGCCCTACTCACCAACCGCACCGGCGGCACTCACGGCGGTACTCCCGGCAGCTATGGCGGACAGCATGGCGGCTCCATCTACGGTGAAGGCAACCCCGGACAGCGTGGAGGCTACGGACAAGACAAGGACGTGGCGGCGGAAATCGGGGTCGAGGTCGCGAACGTCAAAACGGCTCAAGGCAACGACAACCTCACGATGCCAACAATACCTGGAACTCACCCTACCCCAACCCTAACCCGGGTCTCCTAGGCCCACGCCCCACACCCCCTCCCTACCCCGCCCACGCCCACTACA